CTGACTATAACTGACTCACACAACATGAGAACAAGCTGCACACAGATGTCCTGACTATAACTGACTCACACAACATGAGAACAAGCTGCACACAGATGTCCTGACTATAACTGACTCACACAACATGAGAACAAGCTGCACACAGATGTCCTGACTATAACTGACTCACACAACATGAGAACAAGCTGCACACAGATGTCCTGACTATAACTGACTCACACAACATGAGAACAAGCTGCACACAGATGTCCTGACTATAACTGACTCACACAACATGAGAACAAGCTGCACACAGATGTCCTGACTATAACTGACTCACACAACATGAGAACAAGCTGCACACAGATGTCCTGACTATAACTGACTCACACAACATAAAAACAAGCTGCACACAGATGTCCTGACTATAACTGACTCACACAACATGAGAACAAGCTGCACACAGATGTCCTGACTATAACTGACTCACACAACATGAGAACAAGCTGCACACAGATGTCCTGACTATAACTGACTCACACAACATGAGAACAAGCTGCACACAGATGTCCTGACTATAACTGACTCACACAACATGAGAACAAGCTGCACACAGATGTCCTGACTATAACTGACTCACACAACATGAGAACAAGCTGCACACAGATGTCCTGACTATAACTGACTCACACAACATGAGAACAAGCTGCACACAGATGTCCTGACTATAACTGACTCACACAACATGAGAACAAGCTGCACACAGATGTCCTGACTATAACTGACTCACACAACATGAGAACAAGCTGCACACAGATGTCCTGACTATAACTGACTCACACAACATGAGAACAAGCTGCACACAGATGTCCTGACTATAACTGACTCACACAACATGAGAACAAGCTGCACACAGATGTCCTGACTATAACTGACTCACACAACATGAGAACAAGCTGCACACAGATGTCCTGACTATAACTGACTCACACAACATGAGAACAAGCTGCACACAGATGTCCTGACTATAACTGACTCACACAACATGAGAACAAGCTGCACACAGATGTCCTGACTATAACTGACTCACACAACATGAGAACAAGCTGCACACAGATGTCCTGACTATAAATGACTCACACAACATGAGAACAAGCTGCACACAGATGTCCTGACTATAACTGACTCACACAACATGAGAACAAGCTGCACACAGATGTCCTGACTATAACTGACTCACACAACATGAGAACAAGCTGCACACAGATGTCCTGACTATAACTGTCTCACAACATGAGAACAAGCTGCACACAGATGTCCTGACTATAACTGACTCACACAACATGAGAACAAGCTGCACACAGATGTCCTGACTATAACTGACTCACACAACATGAGAACAAGCTGCACACAGATGTCCTGACTATAACTGACTCACACAACATGAGAACAAGCTGCACACAGATGTCCTGACTATAACTGACTCACACAACATGAGAACAAGCTGCACACAGATGTCCTGACTATAACTGACTCACACAACATGAGAACAAGCTGCACACAGATGTCCTGACTATAACTGACTCACACAACATGAGAACAAGCTGCACACAGATGTCCTGACCATAACTGACTCACACAACATGAGAGTAAGCTGCACACAGATGTCCTGACTATAAATGACTCACACAACATGAGAACAAGCTGCACACAGATGTCCTGACTATAACTGACTCACACAACATGAGAACAAGCTGCACACAGATGTCATGACTATAACTGTCTCACAACATGAGAACAAGCTGCACACAGATGTCCTGACTATAACTGACTCACACAACATGAGAACAAGCTGCACACAGATGTCCTGACTATAACTGACTCACACAACATGAGAACAAGCTGCACACAGATGTCCTGACTATAATCACTCACACAACATAAAAACAAGCTGCACACAGATGTCCTGACTATAACTGACTCACACAACATGAGAACAAGCTGCACACAGATGTCCTGACTATAAATGACTCACACAACATGAGAACAAGCTGCACACAGATGTCCTGACTATAACTGACTCACACAACATGAGAACAAGCTGCACACAGATGTCCTGACTATAACTGTCTCACAACATGAGAACAAGCTGCACACAGATGTCCTGACTATAACTGACTCACACAACATGAGAACAAGCTGCACACAGATGTCCTGACTATAACTGTCTCACAACATGAGAACAAGCTGCACACAGATGTCCTGACTATAACTGACTCACACAACATGAGAACAAGCTGCACACAGATGTCCTGACTATAACTGACTCACACAACATGAGAACAAGCTGCACACAGATGTCCTGACTATAACTGACTCACAACATGAGAACAAGCTGCACACAGATGTCCTGACTATAACTGACTCACACAACATGAGAACAAGCTGCACACAGATGTCCTGACTATAACTGACTCACACAACGTATGCTGAGAAGGTTCCAGGCAGGTATGCTCTGGCAAGCATTGCTTCAGAGATCCCAAGTAGTTTAAGTCCTTTGGAAATTTGGCACTTTCACTTTTGCTCACCCCATCTCAGGGAATCCAAGCGTTCATGTGACAGATCTGTATTTTCTTTTCTTCTTCTTCTTTGGTTCACATTGAAATAGAGCATCTTTATCTGCAATGTTTCTCTAGTATAAACTTAATGTCCAATATTATGGGGAGGGGGGGGGGGTGTTGGAGTTAGTCTGTATTCATTTCACACTGTAAAACCCCATATACTAATGGACTTTCGGCCCTAAGGAACTCATTCTACAGGAACTTCTGGATTCCCCAAGATGGAGTGAACTAAAATGAAAGAGCCATATATTTTTTTGATGGCATGCAGGTGTGTTGTAACATGAACAGAATGCAAACTGCACCATTTGGTGGTCAAGTGATGAATGAGAAGCTAGATGTAAGGCTCTTTGGGAGCGAGCGAACAGTGCAGATTCACACACAAATCTGGAGTAATCAGGGAATGACGGGGCCCAGAATCTACACAGAAGAAAGAAGAGACGAACATACGGACTTGTTACTATTAACCATTGTTGTCAACACTTGTTGCGCTTGCTGCTGAAGATCGGGAATGGACATCTATGGGAATATTCCGTGCGATATGATGTCAGCTCTTAAAAAAAAAAAAAAAGGTTGTTGCGTATCCTCTAGAGGACGTTGCAGAACCAACCCTAACAGCCCCTGGCTGTTGTGTGGTTTCTCTAGGCAAATTTACGTCCAGTAGTTTGCCATTGCTTTCTGGACGGTCGGCTTTCTTGATACCACTGTCGAAACCAACGCAAGGCGCATTGCCCGCAGCTGGGATCGAACCTGGCATCCCGGCATTACGAAGCGAAGTGTTCGCATCGACTTAGCCACAGAGCCGACAGTAGTCTTAATTTTGACATAATTCAACATTCAACCGGGCAAGAGTAAGTAAGTACACGCACAAAAATCAGTTTAGGTTCAAATACTTACAACTACCATCAATAAACTGAGCGAGCACTACAATATTTATACCAACCACCGACAACTTGGGATGCTTCGCCCGATATTTTGCGAAAACAAAGTGAGATGGAATGCAACCTGATTTCAAACTTTAACATCGGCCATGTTTTCCATCGTACAGTGCCTGGTAGTCTGCTTGACCTGTCATGAAAGTGGCTAAAGTCGGCTACATTTGTCGGCCCCGCGGCTAAATTTCTGGCTGTAAACTTGCACATCATAAGCCACAGTGTCACAGTAGCAAAGGACACTTTGCACACTTTGCTCTTGACTGTTGGCTTTGGTGCCTATGGCAACTGCCTTATGCATTTATTTCTTCTTTTTTCTTCTTCTCTTCCACCTTATACCTCAGTGAACTGTCGAGGAGAGATGTAACGCACGTTGACGAGTGTCAAGAGCACTATTAAGATTGATGTTCATTCCTGTAAGGCTGTTTTTTATGCCATCACTCCATATTTTCCGAGGTCTTCCACTCGCTCTATACCCGTTGTAACGTTTCAGTGTGGCTCACTGTGGGAGATAGTACCAGGGCCTTCTTGTTAGGTGTCCAAACCACTTCATTTGTTGTTCTTTGATGACCTGAAGGGTTGGCTTTATTCCTAACATTCGTATGATTTCATGATTTCGTATTCTATCTTTCATTGAAACTCCTGCAGCTCTTCTAAGGCATTTTATCTCTGTTGTCACAATTTTGGTCTGCAAGATGTGGACTGTGCCTGGCTCTGCATCCAGCAGGGTTGGGGTCGGCTAGCTTCTCTTAGGAGAGGTGAAAAGTGAAAATTAGTAGCCTGCCGATGACCCACAGTACACATAAGTCAACCTCTCCTCCCAGTGGTGCAGACCGGGAAACTGTGGCCGTGAGGCCACAGGCGAACGAGGCTCTGGCTCGCCAGATGGGATGGGGTCCATCTGGTCAGATTTTCCCTTAAACTGCGACTGGCCTAGCAAGCCGGCAGTGGATTTTTTATTGCTACGAAAATTAGAAAGGAGATAAATAAACGGACAGCCCCAAACGGAAAATGGACTGGAAACGTTAAAGGACGACGAGACAGAAAAACGACTTACATAGGCACATGGAACATATGTGGTATTGCCAACAAAGAGCCACAAATAGTGGATTTCATGAAAAGAAAAAATATACACGTCATGGGTCTTGCGGATACAAGAAAGAAAGGATATAATACAAAAGAAATACATGAAAATTATGTTTTATTATGGAGCGGAGTACCCACTAAAGATAGGGCAAAACATGGTGTCGGATTTATACTTCATCCCGAGACAGCAAAATTAATAACAGGAACAGAATTTATATCAGAAAGAATTATTTTAATCAAGTTGACAGAAGGAAGTAAAACTACAACGATCATTCAGATATATGCACCTTGCAACGATAGTTATTCTGAAGAAGAAAAAGAAGACTTTTACGAGAGACTTACGGACACCATCAATAATGTTAAAGAGAAAGAGGACATCATAGTAATGGGAGATTTTAATGGTAGGGTAGGTAAAAGAAGATCACCATGGGAGAGATACCTTGGCCCATTCAGCGACACAACCACAGATTGCAATAGAAATGGAGAACACCTGTTAAACTTGTGTGCTGAACAAGATCTCTACATTACCAACACATTCTACCAACATCGCCAAAGTCAGGTTAAAACGTGGTACAAGTGGAACAACTTAGATCAAGCGTCACAAATTGATTTTATACTAGTCAGACAACGGCAGAAGAGGACGGTAAGAGACTCAAAAGCTGTCCCAAATGCGGGACTGGATTCAGACCATCGCCCAGTAGTTATGAACATATGCAACTCAAGTAGAAACAGTCTACATAAACAGAAACGTGAAGAAATCATCAACACTAAGAAATTAGAGGAAGAGAATATCAAACATGAATTTGAACTAGAAATAACAAAGGCTTTTGCAGATATTGCCAAGGAACCAGTAAGAATTGAAGAAGAATGGGATTATTATAAATCAACCATCACGAAGATATTAAAAGACAAGTGTGGTACCAGAAAGACGGGCAAAGGCAAGAAAAAGGGTACCGCTTGGTGGAATGAAGAAGTTAAAGAAGCAGTGTCAAATAAAAAGAAGATGTTTCAAATATGGTTAAAAACAAAAGACGAAAAGGATTACATTAGGTACAGACTAACTCGAAGAGACACCAAGAGAACAATAAAGAAATCCAAAGAGGAATCATGGAAAAAGTATGGTGAACACCTAACACAGCTATGTACAGAATCACCAAGAGACTTTTATAAGAGTGTGAACGCGATGCGATTAAGAGAAGAAAGCTTCAATCCAACATCAGTCATAAACGATAAAAATGGAAAACCATTATTCAGCCAAAAAGAAATTAAAAAAAGATGGAAGGAATATTTTAAAGAACTTTTGAACCCGTCGGGAGTACATGAAACAGCAGAATTCCATTCAAGGGCTCCAGATCATCTAGAACCACATATCCTGCGGGATGAAGTAGAGAAAGTTATCAAAACAAGTAAAAGACACAAAGCAGCTGGTATCGACGGAATAACAACAGAAGTCATCCAGGCTGGAGGGGACACTATGATCACCTGGCTGGAGAGAATTTTCAATAGAGCATGGGCAGAGAGAAAGGTACCAGTGGATTGGCAAAGATCAGTTGTAGTACCTATCTGGAAGAAAAAAGGAAACAAGAGAGAATGTGGAACTTATAGAGGAATATCTTTACTAAGTCATGTGGGGAAAATGTATGCAAAGATCTTAGAAGGTAGGATAAGAGCAAAGGTTGAACCTCTACTGAGTAAAGCACAATTCGGTTTCAGGAAAGGGCGAGGTTGCACTGATGCCATATTTGCACTAAGACAAGTCTGTGAAAAGACACTCGAATACGATAAAGAGCTGAACGTGGTCTTTGTAGATCAAGAGAAGGCATTCGACCGTGTAGACAGAGATGTGCTGTGGAGAATTCTTGACGATTACGGAGTGCAGGGTCAATTATTAGACAACATCAGAGCCCTCTATGAAAAAAGTGAAAGTGCAGTAAGAACATCTAGTGGTCTTTCTGAATGGTTCAAAGTCACAACTGGTGTCAGGCAAGGATGTGTACTGTCACCATTACTTTTCATAACATACATGGATAAGATCACTGTAGAAGCAAACCCAGACGTGTATGCTATAAACGAATTACTTTTTGCTGATGATCAAAGCATACTGTATCAAAATGAATATGATCTACAGGAACATCTGACTACTCTCAACAACAGCTGTTTACAACATAATATGAGAATCAGTACAGAAAAAACAGAAGTTATGAAGATCAGCAGAACACACAGGCCACTGAATATAAATGTTGGAAGTGCCAAAATCAAGCAAACCAAAGAGTTCAAATACTTGGGCAGTATATTTACAGAGGATGGAAGAATGGACAGAGAGATAGAAACAAGAATACAGAAAGCAAATGCTGTCACATACCAACTATCACCTCTGCTTAAACATCCAGATATAACCATGAAGACCAAAAGACAATTGATAAACACCATCTTCATTCCAACACTCTGCTACCAGTGCCAGACATGGACAATCAACAAGACCCATGAAAGAAAAATAGAAGTCTGTGAAATGAAATGTCTAAGAAAAGCAGCGAATAAGACCAGACTAGACAGGATAAAGAATATAGACATTAGAAACACTGTCAAAACTACACCATGTTTAGACTACATAGAACATCAAAGAATGAAATGGTTTGGACATCTAACCAGGATGAAAAATGATCAAATAACATCACAAATTTTCAACCAAAGAAGCTCAGGATATAAGGCAAGAGGAAGACCAAGGAAATTGTGGATTGACGGGGTCTCTGAAACCTGCCAAAAGCATGGCCTCAGAACATCAGATGCTGCCCGCCTTGCTTATGACAGGAACTTGCATCTCCCCACAACGCTTAGCGGCATACGTGGAAGGAAAAAGTAAAAGTAAAGTAAGTAAGTCACAATTTTACGTTCACTGGAGTATGTAAGTGTCCACGTTTGGCACTGATAGCATAGTGTTGGCCAAAAACTAGTTCTGATAAGATTCACTTTAGTACTCCGGGGTATCTGCTTGAGCGTCAACAGGGGAGGTAGTTGACCCAATACTTGATTAGCTTTGGCACATCTGGAGCAAATTTATCTGTCAATTTTTCCACAGAATGCGAAAACTGGTCCTACATACTTGTTTTCCTTTGTTAGTCTTAATCAAGTAACAGAAAGTGTATTGATCGGCACTCATAGAAAGAAGTAGATAGATAGAAGAACACAACAGACAACATAAAAATCGAAAGCTATAGTTACCGTGCTGGTAATTGAACCTGTCACCCCCAGACGGCGTCTACGCTTCGCCATGAATACAAGTGCACTAAGAACATGGTCAACTAGGCACCCACACAAAAAAAGGTGTCTTATTGGCCTTGTCTATCGTACAACTTGAAATCCACAACTATGGAATACGGACAGAATTCATGTCAATCCATTTAAATGGCACCATAGGTTACATAAATTTATATTAACGAAGCATATGTCGAATAACAATCACAGCAACGATTTACGAACACAGTAGTTATGTTGTCTAGTGTGTTTTTCTATCTATCTACTTCTTTCTATGAGTGCCGATCAATACACTTTCTGTTACTTGATTAATTCATAATATTTAACGGCCTCAAAGGTTTCCCCTCTGTTTATTTGTTTGTCTTTAGACGCTGTTTTTAAATTTTATTTCTAAAGTGTCTTTCTGTCTCTGTATGTGTGTGCATTTAGGTATGTATGCGAGTATGCATGTATGTGTGTAAAGATGTGAGTGTATGTATGGATGTGTGTATGTACGTATGTATGCACGTATGTGTGTGTATGTATATATGTATGCATGTATATGGGTGTATTTATGCATGTGAGTGTATATGTATGGTTGTCGGTGTCTATATATGTGATTATATGTGTGTGTATGTATGCATACCTGTGTAGATGTGTATGTATGGAATGTGTGTGTGTGTATGTGTATGTCGATGTATGTATGTGTGTGTTTTATGTTGTGCATGTATGTAAGTGCGTGTATGTATGTATTACGAATGTCTGTGTATGAGTGTGCATGTATGAGAATGTAAGAGAATGTATACGTGTGTGTGTGTGTGTGTGCGTGTGCGTGGTTAAGTGTGTAATATTGTGTAACATGATGTGTGTATACATTATTCCATAATGTATACTTCTATATTGCATCCATAACATGCATTATTGATAACAGGCATTGGTACTTTGAAAAATGAGTGCTTAGAAGGGCCGAATGTCAGACGGGCCTGCGTGCCAAATTTGTATCCCTAAGAAAATAAAGTTTGTTCGTTCTTTCGTTCCTATCACCATTGTCTCTGACTTCGTAGTGTTTATTACCAAATTACATTCCTTCCCTTTGTTACTGATTTGATTTAGGTGGTTCTGTAGGCATTCTGTACTTTCTGCTATACGTACCTAGTCATCTCCAAATAGTATTTCTGCAATATCGACTTCATGATAAAAGTTCGTTTCTTTACACATAGTTTTTATGTATGTATTAAAAAGAAGTGGCACACCAGAGTTCACTATAAACGTTCTTGACAATGCATTTACTGCGTGCATATATTTCTGGATTGTTCTGTGACATGATTTGTTTACCAGTTTTTCAGGTACAAGTAACGTTTTCCGCTTCAGACAAACACTTCACGCCGTCGCGCGAGATGTGTTGGCCTTTCATTCATGCTTGGTGAGTTTTCTCACTCGCTGGTCTATGTTACAGGGGTGTCACGCTGTGTTGTCTTCGATGCTGGCATCCTTCTCTTTTGCTCGTCGCGAGCAGCCAGCCATCAGAAGCGCTAACATAAACAGTCCGACATTAGAAATATCGATGGAAGCAGCATTTACGAACAGATCAGCAGTTGCACCTGCGATCTATTTTAATTCCAAAAGGCACCACCAATACTCTGGCAACAGGTCACTCGCCATTTTCTAAAGATACAGTTTCCAAAACCTCGTTGATCCTTTCAGTCCACAAATAGAGGAAAATGCAACGGCGGTTCTTTCGTAATAAATCACCCCCGATGACGTCATGGGGACAGTCCAATATTTTATAGGGTCGTAAGACCGGGTTTCCCGGTTTTGTTGTGCTTTTAACTACCATAAAACACACAGAACTAGACCTAATTACAACCCACCTATGTCCCATGAGAGAGTGCAGCCTAGGTCCCACGACTGCTTGCAGTCTATCTACGACCACCTGAAATATTTGATTGTTTGTTTGGGGTGAATAAAAACGAAGGCGCCGTCTGTCAGAAGCAAAAATATTTTCGACGGCTACAAAAACTATATTTTGACCACTGAAAGATCTTGTTTGTGACCCACAATGTTCCAATGTCAGATGCCAATGCTTGCAGTCATCGGAGTATAATGGCCATACAAGGAAGCAATGCCCGATGCAGGCGTCTCATTAATGCTGTTGTAGTGCCCTGAGGCATTCTCGCACAACTGTTTGAAAAATATGGAAGTCAAGCATTATGGGTGCGCTAGATGCCCATTGTGTGACAGTAATCGATGACTTGAAGGATTAAATAGTGACTATAATAGATCAAATCAGGAATGGGGTAAAACGAGAAGAAAAAAATCGGTACGTAACCGATTCTAACTGACACACAGAGACAACAAATGCCAGTCTGCCCACTTGAAAAGCATGCCCATGACCAAACAAGACATTCACCATAAGAGGAGAGGGATGCAGAGCACGATGTAGAGAAACAACAAGATGGAAAGATACTATTAGAGTTACTCTACAACAGTAGTATGTTTTTATGGTCGAACAAAATGAAAAGATAATATTAGAGTAACTCTACAAAAATACGATTTTTATATGGTCGAGACTGTCAACTGAGCCAGAAGGCGAGCCAGGTATCTTCGATACGAAATATGAAAAAAGCAACAGAAAGTGTATTGATTGGCACTCATAGACAGAAGTAGAAAGACAGAAGAACACACTAGACAACATAAAAATCGAAAGCTGTAGTTACTGTGCCGCTAATCGAACCTGTCACCTCCAGACGGTGTGTGCGCCTGGCTATGGAAATAAGCGCACTAAGAACATGGTCAACAAAGGCAACCCGATATGGGTATAAGAGAAATTAAGAAAGAGAAGACATTTAATAATATAGAACATATAAAAGCTGACACAACTGTGTGTTTTATTGAAGCTATTTAAACCGCAAATTTCAGTAAAAGATGCATCATGTTTGTGAGTTTTATCCACGGTGTGCTTCCGTGTGATAATGTAGGATGCTTTCACACAAGACAGAGCCTCATGCAGTAATGCATGTGGAGTCGTTCGTTTGTCGTGACTGCTGCTTCTGTCGATGATAAACTGCACCCGCAGTGACCGACTATTGCTATTTCTGGTGGCTGCCGTGTGCATGTAATGCGTGTTTATGCTTTTGACCTTGTCAAGACTGCAGCATAATCAACTGTAAACACGGGAAAGTGAAAGTGATCGGTATTCATTGTGGTTTTCACCAGCCTCTATATTATCACTCCATCGTCTTTTTGGTCTGCCTCGAGACCTACTCCCATTTAACTCTGTTACATACGCAGTTACATATCCGGGTTTATACAGATAACTACAGAAGCCATTCAAGCATGTAGCCAAACTGGCATCAAATGGCTAACATGAGCTTTCAATACAGCATGGGAAGAAAGGGAAGTTCCACTTGACTGGCAGCAGATATTGGTAGCACCGGTTTGGAAAAAGAATGGCAATTCAAGAGACAGCATCGTGTATATTGAGCTACATAGGACAAGTGTATACACAGTTATTAGAACAGAGAGTCAGACCTATAGCGAAACCGCACCTAAGTGAATCACAATTTGGTTTCAGGAAAGAAAACAAGTTGCACAGATGCACAATTTACACTAACACTAGTTTGCGAGAAAACCACTGAATATGAGGATGAACTGTTGAACATTTGAAGTTTTCTTTCCATAATATATTCTCTTGTGACGCTACAATAATGAAGTTAGATAAAAGATGTAAAACAATCCCGATTATACGTTTTCTATCCTGCATGTTTGTATAGACGAATGGTGAGAATACAGTGGGCAGATAAAAAGAGTAATGAAGATGTCTTGACAGAAACTGACGGAAGATAACTGATTGCCCACATCAGAAACAGAAAATCTACATTCTTTGCTTTTGCAATGAGAAGGAGAAAACTCGGGTACATTATGATAGAAGGAAAGTTGGAGGGAAAGGAAAGGCAGAGGGAGACTGAGATAAAAGATGCTGGACAGTTTGGTCATCATGGCATGGAAGATCATCTGTGTCAGAGTTGACTGAAAGTACATGAGACAGAAGGTTGTGGATAGACATGACTACCAACGCCACACGGCATGGACTTTGAGAAGAAGATCCACCATGTTTACCTTTGTGCCAAATTATGTAATTCTGTGTAATTAAAATATTTAAAACCCAGACATTCAGATGGGAGTAGGCGTAGAGCTAGACACTCGCGCGCGGATCGAAAAGTTGTGGGTTCGCTTAATGGCGGAGCCGAACGTTTTTCAAAAATGACCTTGACTTCCAGGTCAACCTAGCCTTGAGTGCGTACCGGGTGCAGTCCCGGGAAGTAAATGTGGCCCGTGTGATGCTGACCACATCCCCCATTTTGTGTCCATTGTTCTATAAAAATATAGATCTAGCCCTATATGCCCTATACGTCTAAAGGCGTGGAAAAAAGGACCGTTACTTTTCTAAGGACAGTCAGGTAGGCAGGGAAGCGTCTCACCACCGTGTTTTAATATTCTTCCCTCGGGACTGCTTTCTGTATGATAAGCAGCAAGTTATTCAAGAATCGGATGAGGCTCCAGCACGATGACATCCATGAGATCCCCTTCAGTAGTACAGTATAACAGTTATTTTGGGGCACCCGAAGTGACTTGCAGTCCAAAGTTGGTGGGTCGTTGTAGATGGGTCTTGTGGGCGGGTCGCACAGGCTGGATCATTTCAGTTCTGTGTTGGCACTGGTCGCTTATTCACAACAAACCCGCTTCTGTTTTCCGAAGCATATTCTGCAAGGGCCGTTGTCGTATGGCAGTTTTGTCGCGCACCTTACTTACAGGATATTTTCACAAATCCCTCAGGTGCTCTGAGACAGGAGAGTTTTGAATGGTGGCTCTCGTTCGTCTAGAGGCCTAACCCTCGGTTCAAACTTTCCATTCAACCTGTCTCAGGGATGAGGTGACACGAGCTCTGACTCCACAGGGTTTTTATGAACACTTGGGTACCTCTCGGCCAGACGTCCTCACCACTAATTGCCCCCAGACTGGAACAAAACAAGTCCAGTCGAACAAATAATCAACAGCGAATTTGACAAGACAACACTGTCTCTCTGAATAAGACAATAAAATTCAGTAACACGAAACTTTTCTATCAACTAGAAGACTACTGAATTTCATCACGATTGTAATTAATTTACTATAACAAAGTTAATGAAAACCGTAGCGAAGAAATAAAAGGAACGATCACAACTTTGAGAATCTAACACAAGAGAAAGAATTAGTCTAAATAGACCTATAGACTATCGTGTTCATCACGGCGAAGGAGAAAACATGACCATGAAGGCACGTTTGGAGAAGAGTTATCTTAGTCTGCCACGTCACTTATCTGATCAGATCTCGTAGCTCCTCAGCGTCTCAGAGTGGAGTAATACGCCACCGTACTTTACTGCACGGTTACACAGGACTGAATCAGCTTCTCCGGATGCCGCAAAGGAAACTCTCTCTGCCGTACTTCCCAGTACGACCACACATGAACGAATCAGCTTCTGGTATTAATCAAGGACTGTCGACTCACTTCACCGGAACGAATCAGCTTCAGGTGCTGATCCAGGAAACTCAATTCACTATTGAGGGACTCCGGCACCAGTGTCGTCCGCACATTCAACACCGTAATTCAGCATACGTAAATCGTTTACTGGGTCGTGGCAGTTGGAATCACCCTATCAAACATGTACACTTGTTGGATCTTCAGAAAATCCTGAAAAACGTAAAGTAACAGACATGAGCGAACCGTACTCAACGCACCCATATAATCAAGGTCCTTACTTCCTCCCAATGCTCAGATATATTTTAGGTTATTCCAAACCATAAAGGTTGGTTACCTCAATCTTAGAATCCTTTTTGGTCTCCTAGAGTGAGTACTAGATCCTTAACTCGAAGAGTTCCTGGATTCAGTTCTGTGGCAAAGGTTAGACAGATCCCCATTATTTACCCTTCCTTCTAACGTAGAAAATAGGGGATCAGCGATGAAGTCAAAACCAAGACCGACTGAAATATGTTATGAAAACAATACGACAGTCGAAGCTTGTTGTGGTTACGAAATCGCCTAGCAACAGCGGACATGACGTCATGTCTGCCCATAAGCTTCTTGTCGTTCAAAACCATTCAGAGACTTACCAAGTTCTGGTACCGAATACTAGCAAATAATTAACAATACAAAGTTATCAATACTACAAACCCACTCCAGATATGTAGATTGATTGAATTGAAAAGGTTTAAAAGGCCATTTCAAAGCATTCTGCGAGAAATGTCAACCGAAAGTGCATTCCGATCTGGAGCTCCTTTCGCCACCTTCCTTGGCAAGAATCGTAGGAAAACAGATTCGCATTATCCAGCTGCTGACCTTAGTTACCTACATCACAGACATTATGAACGCAAATATTCAATTAAAAAGTCCTTAAGAAAACTCACCCATTGTAAATAAAAAAGAGAATAATGAATCTTGTCTGTATAACGGTCAATTGGCGAGACACAAGGAAAAACGCCTGCCTCCAAGACCGGACTGTAGAAAAGTGACGCACACAAACACGTCCCCTAACAACAGCAGTTAGCGTACGAATTGCGCTCACTAATGCAGTGCAGTGGTCAGACAATTTATTTAGAATAGGCGCAGAAAATGTGTCCTAACATTTAATTCGACACTCAAAGCCTAAAAGAGTCATTATCAAAGGGTTTTATATGGATTTTTCCTATCAGGACTCCCCCACAACAAACGAACTATCTAACTATGCTTGGCCTATTCTATTACATAGTTACGATGACGAGTTTAGGGTCGTCAGCTTATAGACCTTCCTGCTGTGGCAGATGTGTGGATGCTGTCATGCGACAGCCGTACAAATACATAAGGACAGGTCAGGTAAATAGTCAACAGACATTACAACGCAAATAAAATCACACAGACACAACCAAACCGGGTTCCTTTATCTTTATAAAAGCATGCATCATTGATACTGCCCTTCTCTATAATATTCTCACAAGCGGTGGATCGTGGTGTTGCGGCCTTGGCGACGGGCTGTACCAGGGCTGACTGGACATATCCCGGTAAAACACGGGGTACTCGTGCCGATAGCGAGACTTGATCTCTGACGGGGTTGGCTGCTGTTGCTGCTGACCACGATGGTCCAGTCGGGGTTCTGACCTTAGTGTCATCCTGGAGAGATACGTTGATCAAAGCTCAATAACGAAGGGTGTACTAACTGCAGACAAAGTAACCACACATGGATCAGGTTCTTCTCCGCGCTCACCGGCTGTAAACTCCAGGGGAAAGTTTTGGTTGTCTGAAACCTCTGGACTTTAGTCTTGTTCCAGAACCTAAGTGTTGCATGCACATCCGCTTTACAGATCTCCCTTAGTTGTATGCAGACTGTTGATTCCATGCCTCTCAGGCAGATGAACTGTGACGTCCAAGGAAGCCCCCAATTTGTCTACTCTTACAACATGCGCGCTGGATAGGCAGTGGGTCAATTTTTGTTTTCCCCTACAGTATGGCACCGGAGCCCACAGGGAGTAGGTCAGGTTCAACAACTGGGTGGTTCAACAACTGGGTGGTTCAACAATTGGGTGGTTCAACAACTGGGTGGTTCAACAATTGGGTGGTTCAATAACTGGGTGGTTCAACAACTGGGTGCTGACCAACCCCAGACAAATTCATGACGCATGGATCAGGTTCAGTGTCTGCGTTTGGACCAGACTGAGAAAAGTAAAAACAATGTCTATACATTGCCTATCCACACTGGGCCACACAAAAGCGTGTAGCGGGAACATGGAGAACTTAAATGGTATGATATAATTACTAATGTAGAGCTTTGGGAGAGAACTAAACAAGTTCCAGAAGACCAAGAGGTGAAGAAAAGACGCGTGTGTTGGATAGGACACACGTTGAGAAAGCCCGAGGACTACATAAGTAGAATGCATTTGCACTGGAACCCACAGGGACATAGAAATAAAGGAAGACAAAAAAAAAAAAAAAAAAAAAAAAAAAAACGAGAAGAGAGCTAGTGACTGAAGCTTAAAGGATGGGGAGGTTATGTTGACCTCCTGCATGCTATAGCGAATGATAGAACGACCCGGCCTGAGTTGATTGAAGACCTATGCTTCATTGATAGATAGAATGCAGGAAATGAAGAAAGGTAAGTCCTGGGAAGTAAAAGCGGCTGATGTGATGTTGTTGACAAGGCTTGTTGTTGCAGCTTTCTCTTTCTTTCTTTCTTTCTTTCTTTCTTTCTTTCTTTCTTTCTTTCTTTCTTTCTTTCTTTCTTTCTTTCTTTCTTTCTTTCTTTCTTTCTTTCTTTCTTTCTTTCTTTCTTTCTTTCTTTCTTTCTTTCTTTCTTTCTTTCTTTCTTTCTTTCTTTCTTTCTTTCTTTCTTTCTTTCTTTCTTTCTTTCTTTCTTTCTTTCTTTCTTTCTTTCTTTCTTTCTTTCTTTCTTTCTTTCTTTCTTCCTTTCTTTCTTTCTTCTTTCTCTCTTTCTTTCTTGCTTTCTTTTCTTCCCACTGAGTGTCGACTGGTGTATATAATAATGGTCTAAGACCATGAGCGTGGACTATAGTCCTTGTACTGTCACGGATTCTCCGGTAACTACTAACACGGTCCACTGTATTAACCTGATGCTCTATACTAATACATTTATGTTCTATAGAATTAACCTCATGTTCTTTACTGCTTTACTTATGTTCTTTAGGGCTAACCTCATTTTCTGTAGTGCTAAATTTATGTTCTATAGAACTAACCTGATGTTCCTCTCAATAACCACCTGTGGTTTGATCTGGTGGCCGTTGAAGTGCAACGCATTGGGGTCATAGTTTCTTTTGTGGAGCAGTCGGTCCTCGGGCCGGTCAGTGAACAATGACGGACTGTCCAGGTACTGGGACCAGAGGGAGAATCCTTTCTGCAAATAGCAACATCACAGCCAACATTGATGTGGGTGTGCGGACATTGAACATTGGGAACATACGAAATGTAGGAAAATTTTAACATATATATCCCTGTTGATATTAAAGCTACTATCATCATCTTGTTAATACTATAGCCACTAACATCACCGTGTTGATACTATAGCCACTATCATCACCCTGTTGATACTATAGCCACTATCATCACCCTGTTGATACTATAGCCACTATCATAACCCTGTTGATACTATAGCCACTATCATCACACGATACTATAGCCACTATCATCACCCTGTTGATACTATAGCCACTATCATCACACGATACTATAGCCACTATCATTATACGATACTATAGCCACTATCATCACACGATACTATAGCCACTATCATCACACGATACTATAGCCACTATCATCACACGATACTATAGCCACTATCATCACACGATACCATAGCCACTATCATCACACGATACTATAGCCACTATCATCACACGATACTATAGCCTCTATCATCACCCTGTTGATACTATAGCCAGTATCATCACCCTGTTGATACTTTAGCCACTATCATCACACGATACTATAGCCACTATCATCACCCTGTTGATACTATAGCCACTATCATCACCCTGTTGATACTATAGCCACTATCATCACACGATACTATAGCCACTATCATCACACGATACTATAGCCAATATCATCACACGATACTATAGCCACTATCATCACACAATACTATAGCCACTATCATCACCCTGTTGATACTATAGCCAGTATCATCACCCTGTTGATACTATAGCCACTATCATCACACGATACTATAGCCACTATCATCACCCTGTTGATACTATAGCCACTATCATCACCTTGTAATACTACCATCACTATCATCATCATGTTGATACTAAAGCCACTGTTATCACCCTGTTGATACTAAAGCCACTATTATCACCCCGTTGATACAAAAGCCACTATCATTACACCGTTGATACTAAAGCCACTATTATCACACAGTTGGTACTAGAGCCACTATCATAACCCTGTTGATACTAAAGCCACTATCATTACCCTGTTGATACTAAAGCCACTAGTTGCACGTCACACAGGGGTCGCACGCTGGTCCCCGATTCCCCTGTATCCTGTGCAATCCATCCATCTCTCAGCAACGTTGATCTCAGAATGTCCTTATGCTTCTCTTTTTCCGCAATCAATTTGTTTCCCATTTCAGCGCCTGTCTGGTGACTGTCACTTATGCTAAAGTACGTACATTGTAAAAGGGGCTAGTGGCAAGTGAATAGCGACTACTACTAACATTACCCCCCCCCCCACCCGCTCCCATACTATAGGACGTTCTGTGGAGTTTCCAACGAAATTTCGAAGCTAATGAGATGGGGTTTGTCTTGAATTTTAGTACGGTTGAAAAATCTAGTTACCGACCGCCTGTAAGTAGCCCACTTTTAGAGCGGTTTTTGACAAGGAGAGCTTATGCCTGAGGATTTAGGGTCAAATGGCTAATGTAACCACCACCACCTGTGGTGGCTAGAATTTGTTTCTGTTCGTTTGTTTTTAAACCCCCTGTAGAAAGAGACTGCGATTACAGTGTCGGGGATTTGAACTGAAGTCTCATGGGCTAGATTTAAAAATGTATCAAACAATTAGTCTAGTAGGTAAAGTAACAATATAATTAGCACCCCTAACTACCTTATTGTCCCATAATATCAAACGGTAAGAGAAACAGAAGTAATGGGATCTTCGTGGCAAACATGTCGAGACTTTTGCCTCTCGCTCTGAAAGTCGCCAGTCCGTTTAACAGGCGCATCGTTCAGTTCATTAGTACCATGTCTAAGGAGAGTCATAGCGACCCTCAGAGGTAAAAGAACATCAAGAGATGGACATCATCTGTCTGTGAGAGTGTACATCTAGGTCACAAGTCAAAGTATGCTGGAGATCCACTGAAGCCAATCTTCATTGTGTAGACGGCAGCTGACTGACTGAATGACTAAATGACTGATTGATAGCTGCATATCCCAAGAAGAACACATACAAGTTTACATACTTGAATATCCCGGGAACTGTTGAAGACTCTACTGGGCTCCCTAGCGGTTTCTGTGACGTCTGGGCACACAATCCTTAACCTAGGCAACCTATGACCCTTGACATTAGCCTCGCTGAAATCGGCCAGCGTGCAGCACGTGGTTGACTGGCAGTGTTCATCTGGCAACTTACACAGCACCTGGAACCACCCGGTCAAGGTATTGATTGTTATCCACCGAGCAGGAGTAGGGTGTACGAATACGCATACAAGTTAATAAATCGGGTACCCGCTCGAGATGGACATTGGCTGCAGTACATCTTCTACTATCATCCTTTAAAATAATGGCAAAATGTTGCCGACCGCCTTGTAAAATAATTATTCTGCCAGATTTTTATGGGGTACTGCATTCATTGCTATTTCATGCTCTACGACTGCAGCTGACGCAGTACTGCAAAAAGTTGCGCAGATATTAGTTATTTTTATCTGTCTATCTATTGTCTTTGATACTGTTGAGTTTCAGCAAGTTGTTCACTCCATCTATCCATATTCTTTTTGGTCTTTCTCTGCCTCTACATGCTTCAATTCTCATGTTATAATCGGTTTACTTTTTTAAAATTTTGGCCACCAACGTAGTAAGTGGTGATGTCATTATATCTTACGCGGTGAGACTCTTATACCATTGTCTAGCAGCCACGAGCACACTGTGTGTGCGTGTGTTTTAAACACCCGTTTCGGGAATCCAATCCCGAGGATTCCACTAACCTCTAGTAATCCTACAGCAGCCAAGAGGTAACTCTGTGGCTTAGGGATTGTGAATGCGTTTAACAGTTTGGCGATTCTTGGTCCACAAGGATTTGATGTCAACGTCAGACTGTTGATTTTCGTATTAAATCCGTTGCAGGCAGACAATAGAACGAGAATCGTCAGGTGGAAAATATTGGGGCTTCATCTACCAGACGAGAGAGATAAAATAGAAACCCTTAACAGATTCTGTCTATAGGATTGGAAGTGCTGGACCTTGGCACATTTGAGGCTACAGATGTGGTCAGGTGGCTGGTTTCCCATCCTCGTCGTCTTTCATTGCCATAACATTCAAGAACTTGCTTGGCCCTCATATGAAGACACTAGACAAGTCAGACAGTAAAGGGGCTTTTTTTTTATACCTTTATTCGGAACTCTGCTCTGGCTGCTGAAGATGTGAGCTGAGTGCTTATGATAATGTCTCGAGTGCTGTGAAAGAGCTCAACTCTCCATGTGCTCTCGAGGCATCGGGCAGTTGATGCCGGACTCATTCTTGGATAGACCAATCAGTTACAGCTAGGGGAGATAACTAATATAATGCCGACCAGTTTGTCTGATGAGATCTGAGTTGAGAACCGACATCATAGCACTCAGGACATTCCCATAAGCCACCCGTCCCCATCTTCAGCGGCAAGCGAAGAGTTACAATTCCGGTGGTGCCATTACCAGTAAGACTGTAGTCCCTTCCCTGTGTGTTGAGCGTCAGCTAGATCCTTTGGTCGCTTCTCGCTACACCATTGTCTTCCAAGCCGTGATGATCTATTGGCAGTGTTCACTTGCTATCACCATAACCTTACAACATCCACCTTGTCATGCCGATCCCCTTTACTTCATCTGGAATTTCCCAGTACCAATTTTAGACTGGGTCTGTCTGGGTAGAAAGTTCTGTTTAGGAAAAAAAAAACAAAAAAAACTCCCGATCAAATTGCAGCTGCGGCAAGCATGAGCAAATCTGCTAAACAAAGAATAACTGGTGAATGTAGAAATGTGATCAGCAAAGGGTTGCCATTTGGCTTGTGCCAAGATTTGACCCTATCTGCTTCATGGCTGGAGTCTAGACCACTTATCCTCTTCACCATCCTGTGCCGTACCGATAAGCACAGGCTGTCAAGGACACTTTTCAATACATTGACGCATCAGGTATTTGGCGACTCTTAGACAGATCGACACTTTACAGTTGATGATGTGGGAGCTTGCGGAAATAAGAAGAGCTTCAGAGGAAAAGGAGGACGAACACGGAACAGAATAAGAAGTGGAAAACGATGGGGAAGAAGAAGGAGAAGACTAAACACTAACACGTCGATACAAGTGCCTCTCACTAATCCCCGTGTGGGTTCCGGGGCCCCATCGTTGGGAAAACAAGAATAGACCCATGGCCTACACAACAAGCATGTCGTAAGAATCGACTAATTGGGCGCTTTCTCCGAAGTAGGAGTGCATCTACCCGAGAGACGAGGAACCAACGGTCTGAATAAAAATGAATCATACTTGTAAAACAGATGTGCATGGAACACCCAGGCTCTGGAACAGGACTAGAGTCCAGAAGTGGAAGAACGCCCAGAACTTTCTGCCGGAGTTGACAGCCGGTGAACGAGAAGCAGAAGAAGAATACTGCCCTTAGAATATGAATACATTTGTATAATCATCATCATAACTACGATTAACATTTTTATTTTTTGCCACTAAGCGTTGTGGCAGAGACATGACAGTCCTGCCATCACTGTCTAACACTGGTTTTTGTCATTTGTCACCAAGCGTTATGGCAGAGACACGACAGTCCTGCCATCACTGTCTAACACAGGTTATTGTTGTTTGTCACCAAGCGTTGTGTCAGAGACATGACAGTCCTGCCATCACTGTCTAACACAGGTTATTGTTGTTTGTCACCAAGCGTTGTGGCAGAGACATGACAGTCCTGCCCTCACTGTCTAACACAGGATATTGTTGTTTGTCACCAAGCGTTGTGGCAGAGACATGACAGTCCTCTCATCACTGTCTAACACTGGTTATTGTTGTTTGTCACCAAGCGTTGTAGCAGAGACATGACAGTCCTGCCTTGACTGAATAATACTGGTTATTATTATTCCATATGGATGTACAGTGTTCCTACTGCAATCTATTCAACTTCTCTTGTTGATGCCATGCTGCTTTCGTCAAAGATATTCTATATAGTTCGTTTAACAATAGATAAACACATATACAAGCCATTTACACCTTAAAATAACAAAAATTTGTGTTCCCTACGGGGACGATTTCTATATTGCACAGCTTCAGTGATGAGGTTTACAATTATTCAAACATTTCTCCGAGGAATCGACTTATTGAACATACTTTACAAACGGACCACAACAGAAGCTTACGGTGTCTCGGTCCATAGCTCTCAGTGTTGGTAAGTTAGGGTGGAAGATTTGACGCTTCACCGCAGCAATCTGGACTTTCTTGAAGCACGGATAATGATATAAATAATCCGGATACAAAGTATGGGTGTCCGTGAGGGTCATTATGTCGGTGTTTTTGATGTTGTCTTCATATTATAGAGAGGAAAAAAATACCGTTACAATATATCTTTAGTTGCTAATGATTGTAAGTTAATTAAGTAATGGTTTAAACAACAAATCAACATCATGACTCAGGGGCAGTAACCTGTAAGTGTTACGTTCTTCTTTCAAGCCTGAGTTTGAAGTTTCTCAGCGCAGTGCACGAACTCTGTAGAGGATCCAGAAATACTTTGTGTAGATTTTTAACTCAAGAGTTTTGCCCGGGCAGCGCCATTATGCTACTTTCTTCGATTTCTAAGCTACGGCATTTCTTACGTGCGCAACAATACACACGGGCGTTCGATCTTACTACCTAGAGACCAGAAACTAGGGGAAAGTACTAGAAGTACACGTGAATAAATCACAGTCTTTACCGAGGCCTCAACCCGAGACCTCTAGCGCTCGAGGCAGACGCCATACCTCGAGACCACGCGGCCCCCGTGAATTAAGTAACTGCTACGACAGTGGCGTGCTAGGTATATCATGCTCACTCATACTTTTACAGACCAATCGGTAGTCGATGGGTGATTGGGTCAACATCAAGTAGGTTGTCTTTACTTCCCAGAACATTATCTGACACTCGTTTTGAGTTAGGTCGACTGAGAAGCTAATTAAAATCACGAACTGTGACCAAATCAAACAAAAAGCAGAACAATTCAAACAATTACAAACACGAATAGCAAAATCAATTCAGTCTCATAGCTCTATGAAAATGTCCCGTCTATCTGGCCAGTTAAAGCTCTGATGCATGTGTGGTTAGGGGAAAAGAATACTAGCAACAGAAAAGTTACAATAGGCAAGGGCCGTAACTCAAAATTAAAAAGACGACTAGCGGGATAGTGACCACAACAGCCATCAGGTGCTGACTGATCTATACAAATATGTGTCTGGTTCTGTGTCCTATGCACCTCTGGCTTTTGTAGGCGTTTTGTTTCTTTATTATATCTCCTGTACCATTCGCCTCATGTTAGAATTGATGTTTTTTTTTCCCAACTTTTTCGGTAATTTTGGTTTAATTGTATTCTGTAACCCGATAGTCAATTAAATCTTTCAAATGCGAATCCAATGATTCACGAAGATTTCCCGGATCAGCGTCCTGACAATTTCAGACTTTGCACAGCAAATTTGTTTCCGCGAGTTTGGAAGCCAGAAAAACGGTTTCTGAGTTCAGACAAAAGCGTCCAGTGTGCTTGGGTCATTTCTGTCACAGAATCCAAGAGTGTTTTCCCTTTATGTGTTTATAGCGTGAACTCTTAAGCCAAGTGGGGGATTCATGGCTGCATTTGTTTCCCTTCATATCTATTTTTTGTATCCCCCACTTTTCCCCATTTGTTTCTCTTTATGTCTATTTCTTTATCTCCCACTTTTCCCCATTTGTTTCTCTTCATATCTATTTCTTTATCTCCCAATTTCTCCCATTTGTTTCTCTTTATATTTATTTCTTTATCTCCCACTTTCTCCCATTTGTTTCTCTTTATATCAATTTTTTATCTCCCACTTTTCCCCATTTCTTTCTCTTTATTTCTATTTCTTTATCTCCCACTTTGTCCCATTTGTTTCTCTTCATATCTATTTCTTTATCTCCCAATTTCTCCCATTTGTTTCTCTTTATATTTATTTCTGTATCCCCCACTTTCTCCCATTTGTTTCTAACCCCTTTCTCATACTTTTCCCAAATTGTCAGTACCATTTTCTGATTCTCTTCTTCTTGCGTAACTCTATTTCTGTCTGTCCGCCCCCCCCCCCTAGTCTGTTCGTCCGCCTGTCTGTCCGATTGTCTGCCTGTTTGTATGTCACTCTCTCTCTTTCTGTCGACACAGAAATAGACCAAGATGACTAAAGCACGGACTAACTGACTTAAGACCAAGATGACTAAAGCACGAACTAACTGACTTAAGACCAAGATGACTAAAGCACGGACTAACTGACTTAAGACCAAGATGACTAAAGCACGGACTGACTTAAGACGAAAATGACTAAAGCACGGACTAACTGACTTATGACCAAAATGACTAAAGCACGGACTAACTGACTTAAGACCAAAATGACTAAAGCACGGACTAACTGACTTGAGACCAAAATGACTAAAGCACGGACTTGCTGACTTGAGACCAAAATGACTAAAGCACGGACTAACTGACTTAAGACCAAAATGACTAAAGCACGGACTAACTGACTTGAGACCAAAATGACTAAAGCACGGACTTGCTGACTTACTTTGAGAAGTAGAGAGAATTTGAGGATGCACTGTCGGTGATGTTGTTGTGGTTTTCGTCGCAATCTGCTCTTCTTTCCGTTCACAGACAGTTAGTTATCGCTCACCTAAAGATGCTTTTTCCGGTCTGCTCATCCGCAATTCCTGAGACATTTGGTTATTACAACATGCGCAATTCCTGAGACAGTTGGTTATTACAACATCCGCAATTCCTGAGACATTTAGTTGTTACAACATCCGTAATTCCTGAGACATTTAGTTGTCACAACATCCACAATTCCTGAGACATTTAGTTATTACAACATCCGCAATTCCTGAGACATTTAGTTGTTACAACATCCGTAATTCCCGAGACATTTAGTTATTACAACATCCACAATTCCTGAGACATTTAGTTGTTACAACATCCACAATTCCTGAGACATTTAGTTGTTACAACATCCGTAATTCCTGAGACATTTAGTTGTCACAACATCCACAATTCCTGAGACATTTAGTTGTTACAACATCCACAATTCCTGAGACATTTAGTTATTACAACATCCACAATTCCTGAGACATTTAGTTATTACAACATCCACAATTCCTGAGACATTTAGTTGTTACAACATCCACAATTCCTGAGACATTTAGTTATTACAACATCCGCAATTCCCGAGACATTTAGTTGTTACAACATCCACAATTCCTGAGACATTTAGTTGTCACAACATCCACAATTCCTGAGACATTTAGTTATTAAAACATCCACAATTCCTGAGACATTTAGTTGTTACAACATCCACAATTCCCGAGACATTTAGTTGTTACAACATCCGCAATTCCTAAGACATTTAGTTGTTACAACATCCGTAATTCCTGAGACATTTAGTTATTACAACATCCACAATTCCCGAGACATTTAGTTATTACAACATCCACAATTCCTGAGACATTTAGTTGTTACAACATCCGTAATTCCCGAGACATTTAGTTGTCTGTCTGTCTGTCTGTCTGTCTGTCTGTCGGTCTGTCGGTCTGTCGGTCTGTCGGTCTGTCGGTCTGTCTGTCTGTCTGTCTGTCTGTCTGTCTGTCTGTCTGTCTGTCTGTCTGTCTGTCTGTCTGTCTGTCTGTCTGTCTGTCTGTCTGTCTGCCTGTCTGTCTGTCTGTCTGTCTGTCTGTCTGTCTGTCTGTCTGTCTGTCTGTCTGTCTGTCTTGTCTGGTCTGGTCTGTCTGTCTGTCTGTCTGTCTGTCTGTCTCTGGTGTGCGTGTGTGTGGTTGTAAAATGAATTCTAAGAATTCTTCGTTGTTTTCGTTTGTTTCTTTTCCCACAACTTTTCCTGTCGTTAAGATGGGAAATCTGCTGGCCATCTGGCTCAAAGGTCGACGCAGCCGACAAAAGGAACAGGAAAATACCATGGGAAATTGAAGCGGCCGGCGTATTGTTGATCACATGACTCATCGAGGGCTAATTTGTTCTTGACGTTGTCCAGCATAGTATGTCCTTTGTTGACCATCTCTAACTGTTGACCACTCTCAAAAGTTGACCTCATTTTCACTGATCGGATGGTAACCACATGTTTTTAGTGAAAGACCATCTTTAAATGTTGACTAGCTCTGTAAGTTGTATGTTGGCCACTTGGCCAAGGACATACAATAGTAATTTACCCTCTGTAACGTGGCCACTCTTTTGCGGGTAAGGGCATGTTTATAGGGTCCCTTGGGTAATCAGTTTATTTAGGCTTCATTGTATTCTACTTCTTGAGCATTCCGAGCCAGTGAGGTTCATTGCTGCCCGCCTCCATTCATCTCTTGTTTAAAGGGTCCCAAACACTACTTTGCACAACACGTTCACAGTCGACAACTTCGTCATATATGAGTGCCGTCGTTGTACAATATAATCATATTTTTCAGTCATTTATATTATTTATATATGCTACTGTTTAAATTGCTTTATTGTTCATTCCTTGTCCCAAAAGAGACCCAATGTTGTTATTTGTAAGCTAAAGCCCCAGTCCAATAGATCATATTCATCAGCATCATGTGCCCTGTAGACAAGCCTAGACGGTCATAGTTCACCATCTCACACAATCACCGGGTCAGGCCAGGGTACTGATCTTCTGCTCTCTATGATACAAACACAACTGTGTTCAATGTGTACATTGTATAACTCATGACCAAGCCAGACTGTTTTTCAAAAATGACCCTGGCTTCTATGTCGACCTAGCCGTAATATCAGGTAAAGTCCTGGGAAGTAAAGGCGGCCGGTGTGATGTTGTCTATATAACCCCACCCCACCTCCTCCCCCGACTAGTATATAAAACATAGGCCTATCCTGAAGGCGTGAACCGGATCCTTTATTTTACACTACATTGTACAAAAGATTGAACAGCCTTAAAAATCTATGGTTAAGCACCAGCAAGGAGATAACAATTAGAATTTTGAGAGCATGCATCTTCCCTGGGGCTACATACGGATGTGAGTCGTGGACTATCTCTCAGTCCTTAAGAAAGAGAATAGGGGCTTTTGAGCTGAAATGCTATAGAAAGATTCTCAGAATATCTTGGACAAAGAAGATGAGAAATATTGACATCTTAAAAGATCTGAACATCAGGGAAGATTGGCTAATAAACAGCATCCTTTCTCGAAAGCTGACATATTTTGGTCATATCAAGCGCCACGACGGATTGGAAAAAATTATAGCAGAAGGCATGGTACCAGGAAGGAGGGATAGAGGCCGACCGATACGAAGATGGGCACAGGATATAAG